CCAGCCCACTGCCCGAGCCCCTCCGGGGCTTTGCTCTGCGTCTTCCTGGTCTGCAGACCAAGGAGACGCAGAGAAAGCCCCAGAGTACACGGGCGGCAGGACCGCGAGGTCTCGCAGTCCGTGTACCCTGGGGCAGCCCCATTCGTAACTGCGGATCCGACATAAGTCGGATCCGCGTAAGTCGGGGACTGCCTGTACAGTACTTTTTTTTTAGTTGGGGGGGAGAGGGATGAATAGATTAGTTGCCAAAAAAAATCAGTTTTGTCTGTTCTGAGTAGACACATTGACATCATGAATATTATTGAACTAACCCAAAGAAATGAAAATTCGTAGAAATGTCAAAACAGGACATTTTGTTGCAACACAAGCCCAAATTGTTTCATGTTTGGCTTTCTGATAAAGGCAAAGAAGAAATATACAAGATCTCTAAGTATGAGAAGTTCCTGTGAAATCATAACCCCAGTGGTGAGGCACTCACTAGGATACAGAAGTTCCTGTCTCAATCCTTGCACTCCTCTGTTTGATGTGGAGGAAGGATCTGCACTTATTTCTTCTATTCTTGTGCAATTCCCTTGCCACTGTGAGCCATGGAACAATGATGGTGATACTACCAATTGACGTATGGGGATCCCAGATCAGCTAAAGATTTGCTATCTTCACTAAAGTGCATTCAAACACTGTAACCAGCTATTTACACTTAAATGAACTAGAAAGTTGTCAGAAGAGCCGCAAACAGCTCAATTTCAGACATCTGCGGCAGAAGATTTCCTTTTTTTCCCTTGAATGGGCTTCAAAACTGAGTAACTTTCTCCAGGCACTTTAGTAACAATTGCACTGCAGAAGCTATGTAGTTACAGTGATTTAAAGCGAAAGATGTATGGGGATCCAATATCAGCTAAAGATTTGCTATCTTCACTAAACTGCATTCAAACACTGTAACCAGCTACTTACACTTAAATGAACGAGAAACTTCGTAGAAGAGCTGCAAACAGCTCAGTTGGAGACATCTGCGGCGGAAGCTTTCCTTTTCTTCCTCGAATGTGCTTAAAGCCCCATAATTTGCTTCATACAATTATGACACCATTCCCCTCCAGTAGGTTTGTAGTTTGGTGTTCTAAAGCCAAAGATATATAGGGATACCTGTTCAGCAAAAGAGTTGCTATCTCCACGAAAATGATTTCAAATCCCCATACATCTTTCGCTGTAAATCACTGTAACTACATAGCTTCTGCAGTGCAATAGTGACTAAAGTGCCTGGAGAAATTTAGCCAGTTTTGAAGCCCGTTCAAGGAAAAAAAGGAAAGCTTCTGCCACAGATGTATCAAACTGAGCTGTTTGCAGTTCTTCTACGAAGTTTCTCGTTCATTTAAGTGTAAATGTCTCGTTAGAGTGTTTGAACGCAGTATAGTGAAGATAGCAAATCTTTAGCTGATCTGGAATCCCTATACATCTTTCGCTATAAATAACTGTAACAACATACCCTCTGCAGTACAATGGTGACTAAAGTGCCTGGAGCAACTTACGGGCTTTTGAAGCCCATTCAAAAAAAAAAGGAACGCTTCTGCCGCAGATGGCTCACACTGGGCTGTTTGCAGCTCTTCTGACAACTTTCTCCTTCATTTCAGTGTAACTAGCTGGTTACTGTATATGAAATCATTTTCGTGGAGATAGCAAAGCTTTTGCTGAACAGGTATCCCTATATATCCTTGGCTTTAGAACACCGTAAGTACAAACCTTCTGGAGGGGTATGGTGAGTTAAGTGTATGAAGCAAGTGTCGGTGTTTTAAGCACATTCTAGGAAAAAAAGGAAAGGT